TTTTTAACACAGAAATTTTAAAAAACTATGTTGATCACTATGTAAGAATGTTTTAATGAGCTCACATATTTAACTCAAAGATAATATTAAATTACCACTTTCCAAAGTCTCAAGTTCAGACTTTTAATTAGCACTAGTAATAATAATCTATAAGGATGTTCTGCAACATTTTCCACTTGAGACTACATGGAGTTTTGTAATTGTTAACTATCAGAAAGCTAGAAAACAGATGACTTTAAACGGATGCTTGATATCTATCTTCCAATCATATTACATAATCACAATATCATTTTACCTTTTCTTGTTCCAATATGAAAAATAAATGTTATTTCTACTGACAATTTAAAGAGAAATGAATAAATATTTCTGCAATTAAAAGCTAACTGAGAAAGCATAATCTGTTCATTATCAAATCTGTATTGGTGAAATCTGCTTTAGCAGTATACTCACTGTTTTCTTTAGTCATCAATGAACATAAAATGATGGGAAATACAGTACTACCAACTGGAATTACAGGTTTCCAAACTAGAGTAAACATATCTTGACAACATAGTCCAATGAATTTTTAATACAGTTAAACTTCCTGGCATTGGTCATTGTGCACATTCCTGGGTGAAGCTGCACTGTTTCTACTCCTTGGAAGCGTGTGGTATTGATGTGCCACTGATGGATACGGATATGACTAAAAACAAATGTAGCATATGTGGCAATAAATCACCTAATTACATAACTAATTAGAGCATAGTCTATGAATTTCTGAGAAGTTAAATAATCATATCCAAATTAATACTTAGGATAGTTTGACTGGACACTTAACTGATTTACTGTCTTCTCCTAATTTGTTCTAGATATTGGAATCCAGCTTCCCATTACTCTGAACAGAAATTATTTGGATAACCCACCAAAATTGCTGAGGTAGATGGATTAAAGAGAACCCCAAAAGATATATACTGTTCCTAAAGCAATACAATGTCCTAGGCCTCAGGGCTTCTTCTTTAGTTCTGAGTTGCTGTACTGGGACACAGCACTCACACTGCTGGTTGAAATAGGTATTCTTCCTCTGTGTAAATGAAAATACAGACCCTGTAATTACAGACCCACTGCTGACAGAAATGTTCTGTTACTTGTTCAGCCAAGACTAATTGGAGTTTCGTAAGAAAAGAGTAATCAACGGTATATCCTTCCTCCAGTTCCTGACCTACTTTATCCAAAATAGTCTAGACTATTTTATGTTAAATCAATAACTGAAATAGCCTCCTATAAGCTTTCTAAAATTATGCTTTGCAGCAAAATAGGAAATGCTGAAAATTATCTGTGATCCTGATAGCATTTCCAAAATCTTGAGATCTTTTGAAATGTCACCATCTACAAAACACACAAGAATCTCAAAAAATGGTCATTAAAATTGTAAGCAGGCATATTTTGTTTGTCAACCAACTGATACTAACTGAAACTCAACAACCAGGCTGGAAGCATAAACCTATCACACAAAAAAAACCCCACAGTGTAGCATGTGTAACTCCAGGAAATATCCAGCAAATCATCAGAAGTAGATTAAGGCAGGCTTTCATCTGTCTTCAGGTTATTGATTAGGCTACAGTTTCTTAAGAGAAGCAGTAAACACGTATTTTATAACCTACTGAAGTTAATGTCAGAATATATAAGTATGATTCAAAAATATTATTTATTTATAGTTTTAATGAATCTGTATTAGATAATAACCACATGATAAACTTCATTTTAAAGAAACTGAAACCGCACCTAGACAGAAGGCATTAGGATTACAAAACACATGCTGATACTACAAATTACACCAGAGTGTAATTGTTCATAATTACACTCTCCTTTCTAAATACAGAAGCAAAAAAGCATAAGTGCTATGTAATGTATACATATTGACAGACACACATATACACACACACATATAAACTAATACACATTTAATTATGCTCCCATGGTTTGTGTCTTCACATATTGCTTGTATTTTTAAATGGTAAATTCTTGCCTGTCGGAACGTTTCCTCGTGCTGTTGATGAAGTGCATAATACAAAGGGGTTTGTCTCTGACTAACTTCTGTATGCTATTGTGATACAAATGTGAAATAATGGTCCCCTCTGGGGATTTTTATAACATCAGTGAGTAAGGCATAAGACTCTTCTAAAATGCAATAAAGTTTTATGGTGTCACTCCAATTTTAAAAAAAATATTTTCCTACAGTGTGTGTGCCAGATTAGAGATATGTGAATTGTCCCATGGGATTAAAGTTATGCACAGGTTTTCAAAATCGGATACCAACATTCACATATTAGCTCATCACAACTTTTGTAACCATTGAATATAGAATCAACACTATGTCCTCACTACATTTAGATATTCATAGAACCATAGAATCATAGAATAATTAGGGCTGGAAAGGACCTTAAGATCATCTAGTTCCAACCCCCCTGCAGTGTTGCTGCAGGATACAACACTGTCAGTATGATGCAGTAGTTTAGATGAGAAAGAAATTTACAACAGAATATAACCTTTGCCTCTGAAATACACAAGCATCACACGTTTTCCTTTTCCCTCTTTATTTTTATACCTCCTATTTTTTATTTCTTTTTTGTCTTATTTTTATTTTTAGACAAGCTAAAGACACAATGAAGACAAAAGACATTCATCTTACTTTTTAACTAGATTACCTCTTAAATATTCACTACCATGACATGTTCCAGTTTGAAAATCTAAAACTGTTCTAATTGTTTCACTTCCGAGGGCATCCCCTTTCAAAAGTAGTGATTCTGTTATTTAACAGATAACACATGTGTACTTGCCGTTGATGCTATGGTTTCTCCCCCCATTTCACAATTCAAAGAAATAAAGCAGGAATATTTAGAACATGTCTTTATTTTTTTTTTTATTTGTAATTTATTTAGTGGTTTATGAAGGAGATAGATTGGAGTTCAGATTTTCTATCAGAGCAGTGACTACTAGCCTGTGAAGGTAAAAGGGCTTGAATGGAGGAAGTTTATTTCCACCATGCAATGGACTGGTCTGTGTTCTCTCTTGACTTAAAATACAGTGTCCACAAGATTTATGGATACAGAGTGAAAACATTCCACCTTCTTGTTACAGAAAGAACTCCCATCGGAGAACAGACCCAAAGAAATCTATTCCAGGCAAAAGAGGAAGAAATGGTCAAAAGGTGAGAGAGGGGAAATGGGAAACAAGCTTTTTTGTGAGTGAGGGAAGAAATGACTGATAACACAATGCTGAAATTATCATGCATGTGCTTTGCTTTGTAGTAGGTAACAGGCAAAGTGTTACCAAATTCTATATTTAAACTCTTATTTTGTTCTGATGGTATCTCACATACACATAAATAAATGATCTGTGCTCCTCTCAGGGTTCTAATTCACAGCCTAGTTTTTTCTAGCCATACCATCTGCAGTAGCAATACCTCAGGCAGGAGAATTTTATATTCTGATCCAGCAGAGGAGTATTACTCATCTTGAAGGATCAGCAGATTGCATGTGAGCACCCAATAAAAAATGGAAAAAAAAAAATCTATTAGCTGGCCAAAGGAATACAGTGGTCCCTGAAATGAAAGATAAACAAGAGTGCCACTACAGTGCTTGCCTTTTGGTATCTCATCTGCTATGGTACCTTCTCTCCATGCATTAAAAAAAAATGATTTCACTAATATTTAGAATGCATACATTGGCTTTTCAGGTATCTCCAGGCAGGAACAGATAAACTGATGGCAGAAAAGCTAGGCTAAACCTATATTGACTTTAGGGTACTGAGCCTGTGATCAAGCTTGATACGGTTTTGAACATTCACGCTACTGCTTGTATGCTTAGGACATCCAATGTTTTGTAGGTAGTCAGCATGTTCTATTCAGTATATGATGAACTCTGGCATATAAGCATAGCCACAGCAACAGATACGAGACACTGGGAATACTAAATCAGTCACATATATACAGATTATATTCTAGGTGAATTTACACTTAGATCCAAGGAAAATAATAATGCAAACATTTTTCCTCTTCAGAATTTACCAAGAGTTGCTTCCAACCAAATTTGAGCATGTACTCATGAACATGAGGCAAACCTAGGTTTTAGATTAACTGACCAAATTCAGCTCAGGTACACTCAGATTGATTGCACACCTGTCTCAGGTTCTAATTTTTATTCTCATTCAGTGAACATTAATACAGTATTATTTTTAATTTCACTTTGTAGGTTTGGGAATAAATCAGACAGCATATGGCTACTTTGAAAAGATAGAAGGACAGAAGTGACAACTCACTGAACACACTGAGTTGCAAAAGTAATCAAAACAGTGGGAAAAAAAAAAAAATGCCTCCGGAGACGTTCAGCTTCTTAGAACAAGAGTATTTTCAGTAGAATTGGCTTTATTCTAATTATACTGAAATCAAAGAGGGTTTTAAAATTAATTTCAACAGTAAAGGAGCTACACCAGTGTTTAAATGCTTTTGGAAAGTCAGTTTTATATTTGCATGCTGGAGATTCTTTTCTTGTCTTCTGTCAAATAGTGGGTTTTAGGGAATATTTATGAAACTACCTTCCTAAAAACATGTTAATGATTATCAGGAATTAAAGGATAGCTTGAAAAAAGATGACAATGAGACGAAGAATTTGAAGTAGTATTTCATTTTGAAAATTTTGTTTTAGTGCTTTGCATTTTATATCTTTTTGACATGTTTTTATGTTTTTATAACGATTATTTTTAGGATGAAAATGTAATAATAATAAATAAATTATGTACCAGTTTATTATGAGTTAATCTCTAGGAGCACCCTCACCCTCCCCAATGAATAGAAATTGGAATGTTTCACTGTTGTAACTTGAGATACTCAGGAACAGATAAGGACCTTAAACTCTTGACTTCCTCTATTTGTGCATATTGTTTTACATTTCAAGTAGGCTTGCTTAAAACACAAGATATAAATGCTTATACGCATAGAGATAAAGTGAAATACTTGTTCATACCTTCAAAGTAACTAGCATTTATAGGCTGTGTCTTCCTCAGTGGTTTCACATGGAGATGTTTATTTTCATTGTTTTTGAACAACGCCACACTCACAGCTGGGTCTAGATGACAAGAATAAGTTAAAATCAAAGGTCAGACCTGGCTCATTCATTCCTTCAAGCAGTTTTTCACCTTTTAGCCACTTAATAAATGAAAATACCTTTAAAAGTAGGTTTTATATTCACAAAGGATTACATTTTCTAAAATAAAGCAACATGTGCAACTGAGAATCAAAGTCACTATTTCACAGGATTTTAACACCGTTGATCTTTTAGCTAGCTCATCTCCAAATTAAATTCTAAAGCATATGTTTCCAGAAAATATTTTTAAAAATATGCTTTCAAATCTTGAAATTAAAGCAGAAATATTAACAGAATATATGCCAAGCACTGTTTCTAAAAGCTGTGGTTTAGAATTATTCAGCAGTATAAATCAAGTCATTTACACCTAAAAAATGTTAACAAGAGGCAGATTATTTTTTGAGGCTAAACTTGCAGATAATAAGCTAACCTTCTTGCATGTGCCATCCTTACTGAAATAAAAAATACTCAAAAGTCTACAGACTCATCTATATGCTACCATATGAATTCTTAGTTTCATAACTGTTATTTCAAAAATTCTGCAAAGAAGCAAAGATGAGCACAGAATGTGTATAAATCTAAATAATACATATTACTAAACTGGAAAAAAAACAAAGTTTAATTAAAAGTTAAACTAATGTGAAACCACACAAGTCAGGAAAGGTGATTTTCATGCATTATTTCTGATGTGAAGGGAGAATTATTTGCTTGACATAGAAGAAATATAGGAGTTTAAGGGAAACAGTAGGTTAGAAAGAATGTGAAAATTTTACACAGAGCTCAGAATAAACCAGCCATTTATTAAAAAAAGAAAAAAAAACCCAAAAGGATTTAGAAGAATGTAGAAACAAAACCAGATACATAATGATGAGCAAAAGTATATATAGGGTTGTGAAACTCTGGCACTGAGCATATTATGAGTAATGGAAAGCCAAAGGAAAAATCAAAGAAATATTTTTCTCATGGTTAAAAGAAGAAGACAATAGCAGAAGCAGACAAATACATTCTCAGGAATATCTGAGAAACAATGAGGCAGAAGTTTGTCTACAGAGGTGACTACAAAGTGTCAGAAAAGGGTAGACACTAATAAAACTAAAGAAGGAAAGCAGTAACAGAACATAGCAAGAAAGTACATACAGCAAGGAAATAATCTAGATTTCCACAAAGAGTGTAACTGTAACAGAAATGATTATGTGAGACATTGCCAGAAGAGACAGAGCAGGAAAAGAGAGGAAATTGAAAAACTCAAAAAGCATTGAGGCAGAATAAATTTACATGGCTATTTATATCTGATACTTCGAGTTTTTTACAAGGCCTGGCTGGTGTTTATTGAAAAAGTTTGTAGGAGTAACTATAATACTGCAGCAAAGTAAGTAGCTTTTTCACTGTTTCCTTAGAAAGGATACTAATGCCCTGTTAAGTCAATGGGCAATTTCTTACACAGTTTAACCCCAATTTACAAAGTTGTTTTTTGACTAGACCTCTGTATTTTCAGTAGATGTTTCAGTTATAAACTAATGGTACATAAAGGCATACTAGGAACTCCACTTTTTGCCAGAGAATACTCGACACAAGCAAGACAACAAGCCAAGTGAAGATCTTTAATGGGTGTGGTTACTTTTAAGAGATAATGCATTGACAAAACACATCAAACTGTTATGGTATCCTTGGTCAGCCAACACTGCAGCAGCATTTGGCTGACAGAATGTTCTTAATGGTGCTAAGCGAAGTAGCAAAGTACAAAGCAGCAAACTTGACTAATGAAGGAATAGTGGAAAACACAGGTGGGAATAATTTAGGCCACACCTTCTTCCCAAAACAGAATCAGAGACACCTTACACTTTCTTACTTCAAATTGTTTAGTAGAACATCTCTCATCTTGTTGTATGATGATTATTCCAGATTAACCCAGAGGATAACAGATTTAAAGTAATTTTAACGTCTTTTACTGCGCAATTTGTAAATTCAAAGAAACAACCCAAGAATCACAATAAATAATGATTAGCTCCATTAGTTTTAAAGGCAGATTACAAGAATTCTGATAATGGGATCACTTTATTCACAAACTGGATTACCAGGTCTGTAGACATCTTCTCTTTGTACAGATGGATGAAGTAGGCCTATATTGCCATGCCTCCCAGCTCAAAAATAAATTTGCAACAACCTAGTGTTCCTAAGGGTAGCAAATGTTTGAGGCACTAGATCACAGTAAGATTTGGGCCAAAACAATATTGAGTAGTAATACATTATATTTTAAAAGTTCTCCTTAAAATTTTAAGTAATAGAAGTTATAAAAAATATTTAAAGTATGAATTATTACTGTATTTTCTATAGTGGTGAAATACATAGTCATACATGTACTGTACATGGACAAAAACGTTCAGAGCAAATTTTTTTCTAATTGCAATTTTTCCAACATGCAGCATTCAGTGTTGATAAAATAGTATTAATAAAAGGACTTCTAACTTCTATTATATACTGGTTATTATATGTACTATATAACTAGCTTTATACTAGTTACAAAGTCAGTGTTTTCCTTCAATAGAAGACCAAAAACAAAGTGAAAAAAATATTAAAACTTCAACAAAGTGCAATTGAGGCTTTCCAAACTATTTTTGATTAACTTAAAATAATTTCTGAAATTACACACTTCCTGTGTGGGTCTACTAAAATATTTCCAAGATATTTTTAAAATGCCATCTTTCCTTAATCCAGCCTTCCACCAAATTCTATGAAAACTCCAACTAGTCCAAAATTAAACTGTACCAAAGACTTCTGGGTGAAGTTACATGAAGTTATTGGTGTACACCTAGATTTTTCAAACATTTATGTGTGTGCAAGGATACCAGCAGTAAAGAAGGTCCATGGAAAGGGAACATAGGGAAATGATAGAAACTGTTCTAAGAGATTTCTATCAGAAGATTTATCTTTGAGTCTTTGCAAAATAACTACAGGGATTTAACACAGTGCCAGACTACTTGAATTTGTACCTACCTGGATCACCTCAACCATTGCCTACAGCTCTTTTGTTATTAAAAATGAGTCCTTTATCTAGATCCAAATGTAGTCAATATCACACAGTTTATAATACTAGTGCTTTTCAGTCTCTGAGCTAGGGAAATAAACTGCATGTATGCTTTGATGACAAGCAATCAAATGTTTTAGATTTCACACAGAGAACTGTGAAAGAGTCCAGCAGTTCAAAATCATACAGATATCTTCCTGGATTCTGGCATTCTCATTTAAATGTGGCTTACTAGACAATGATCTGCGCTGGCAGTCTAGGAACCAAGGAGGTAATTTAATGCACATTGCTTGGCTGACTCCAACAATAAGTTGACTCCAAGATAAGTTGGACAAACACAAGAAATGTTATAGAAACAATATGGAAGGAATAGTTACTGCCTGATTTGGCACCACATTTACTAAATAACTTCTTGATAATATGAAAAACTGAAAAAAATTAAATGATTGTCATTAATTTTTGTTGTGCAATATTTGTAATTAGAAAAAACATAAACATATCTGTCAACTTTAGAGAGTTGACAAATCAAAGTAGCACAGAGTGACAGATACATATCTATAAGATATTTCAATTTGTAAATCCATTTGGAAGGAAGACCATATTTTGTTCTATAACTGAACAGCAATTAGGACTTCAACTCATCCATATCTGGAGCTCCCAGATGATACTGCTACATGAAATACACAGCAACAGAAGCAGCTTGCTTTCTGCTACTAAGGAAATATAGATCAATGGTTATTGATGTAAGGCGCAACAAGGAATAACATCCCCCACATTTTTATTCTGACTGCTGTTAATTCAACAAATCAGTGTTGTATAGTCAGATCATCTGTTCTGGGGTTGTGGGTTTTGAAGGGGGTATGTTGGATTTTCTGCTGTTTGGTTTTAGGGTTTGTTTGTTTGCTTGTTTTTATATAATTAGCATTGCATTGCTCTCTTAAATTCTATAATAGAAATAAAAATATTTGTTGGCCTCTGTGAAATACCAATGCCATTATGTTCTGGATTTAGGAGTTAAGGCCCACTCCAGCTCCTTTTTATTTTTATTTTTTTAAATACCTATGTGGCAGCAAGAATTAACATTTCATGCTGTTAGTTACTGGCAAGTTTTCCTTTGGATATGGTTAAATGGTTAAACAAGAAGTAGTACAGCAGTGTAGGAGAGACAAACTGAAAGCAAGACAATGCTTCCAGCCATCTTGAAAGAAGTTAACTTTCAGACATTAATAGAAAATCCACAGAATCAAGGAAATTCAAAGTTAATCAAGAAACTCTGCACTGTTGTGCCCAGACATCTTTAGGAAATTAGGATTGTTTTGAGTCACTGTGCTTAACTTTTAAGAATAGTGGGGTGTGTTAATGTCTGCTGTACTTAGATTTTGAATTAGAATTTCTATAGAATTTTCTGCAGCCATGAAAAACAGGAATATTTCTGACATTATATCCATTTCACTTGGCTGTAATATTTCTGGTTTCTTGCCCACACTTTTTGTATTATCTTAATGTAGAGTAAAATAGTTGAAGTAGACACAGCCTACATTTGGTATCGTTAAAATACAGGCCACAACTTTATTTAACTACATAAACAAGCGTACGTAACTGTAGTGGATTAGGGCATAACAGCCCTTAAGGCCATTATTTGGTGGGACTGGTCTACTGCAATATAAGCATTGCTTGAATCACCCCCTATTATAAGGTTATGCTACTTTAAGCTCTTCCTTGTAATACAAACCACAGCATTCAGTGCACTTGCTAGTATTTTCCATATTTTTTTCACTACTGAGAAGGTATTTGGCCAGACATATGAGGTAAGATACTTCTCAGTTTCTTCTACATATCTACAGTTTAACTCTGTACTTCAGCTAATCACTTTAGGTTTTCTGTCTAAGCAACGGAGATTTGTAAGTGCTTTTACAGTGAGATGCAAGTAGCCTGTTTTTGAGTTATGATTTAGGAGGAAATTTATAGCATTTAAGGTGGCTATTTCTTTACACAAAAGAATGCACATGACTAACTCAGATGTGGGCTTCTATATTTAACCAACTGTGCTGGAAGGAGGCAAAAGTTTTAGATGGAAAATTAAAGAAGAATTTCCCACACCTGAGAATGTTAAGAATCAAAGCTATTCATGACTGTCCAACACAAGTTCCAATCCAGCAAATGTCTTGACTATATTAAAGAGTAACTGTAAAACTCTTTTAATGGAAGCTCATTTAACACTTAGAAGTTGTGAATCTCAGGCTTAAGGCAAAGGAATTTGATAACATATGGAAGCAGACAGCATCCTCTGACAAGCCATTTGTTCCTACAAAAAACATCAGCACCTTATCATTACCTGCAACTAAAAAGATCAGCAGCACAGTATGATCAATAGCACATAAAAGATGTTTGAGATGATGCTGAAATCTTAGCATAAAGGCTATCAGTATATTTGTTAATAGTTTATAATTTCTTTGTATCTAGAACCTTCAGAGATGCTGTTGCTTTGCTTTTTGTCAGAGCTTAAACTGTAGTTTCTGCATTTACTACTGTAGTTATCAGTTACTACTGATGTGTAGTAAAGGGATATAACATGGATAATTGCTTTTTTACACCTTATAATTCACACTTTCAGGTGGATGCTGGCTACTTATTTTCTAGTGGGTAGCAATCCTTATCACTAACAAAATTATTTTATTGCAGGTAGCATACATTCAACTGTTTTAAATCAGAAAGCTAAAAATGAAACAGTTGAAATTACACTGAGTACCTGGAAATTCAAAAGAACAGAAATAATAATGCTAAAAACAAATCCTATAATATTTCATATGCAGCTTATCATAGAATCATAGAATGATTAGGGTTGTAAGGGACTTTAAAGATCATGTAGTTCCAACTCCCTTGCCATAGGTAGGGACTCCTTCTACTAGACCAAGTTGCTCAAACTTCAATCAGTACAAAATATAGGACGCTCATTTCAGAGGAGGTGAAGGCGGTAGAATGCTAATAGTTACAGAAACATAAAAAGACAATGTTGTCATCTACTTATTCAGATTAATTTCAATCTGCTTTCAAATATTAGAAGGAATAAAGTATCTTCTAGAATTCCTTCTTCAGTATGGTTAAACTGACAACAACGTCCTAAGATTCTGAACTCTCTCTAGTTATACTGGAATTGCTGCAAGTATGATCTGTACCACATGTAGATTCAAGAAAGACGCTGGCAGCCTAATGGACCTGGTTACAGATTCCTGATCTGGAGATGGCCAGCCTCAGGATAAGGTATAGCTACCCTTATTTAAATGCTGTGAAGCTGCTCTGTTCAACCAGACCCTCAAGAAGACCCTGACTTGCTCCCACCACTTCAGTGGAGGTAGTTGTTATAAAACATAATTATATACATGAAGATTCTTCCCACACGGTGAATATTAGATCAGGGTAATTTTTTAGTGCAACAATTGAGTTTTAACATAAATTTAAGATAAGAAATACTTTTTTACTTGATAATGGTATAGTTGGTCCACACTGACCAGTGTGCTGTATGAGCAAGAATAGTTGGCTTGATAATCTTTGTACTGAAACTTGATTGAGCATGCAATATTTTCAGTTATATTTCTTGGTTATAGAAATTATGCTTTCTGCGTAGCTGAAGAAAAAGACCATGATTTTAATGACTGTCAGAAAAATCTACACAGCAAAATTACATATACAGGTTATTTTTGTGCTTGAGGTAAGTCAAAAAGACAAAAACATTCTGTATGAGGTGGTGTCAAGAAGAGAAAATTTGAACCTGTAAAATAATTGTGCAAAAGTTTTGTTAGTTTTTTTAAAACTGGTAATATACCTTGAGACTATTCCAAGTGATACATTAAAAAGCTCAACATCCATATACCATAATGAATAATCTGAACAAAGTGAATACAAACATATCAAAAAAATCCATTAGAACTACAAAAAAAACAGGATAGCAAATTTGATATGCTCAATCAGACATTTATGAATGGATTAATTACCGCTAACATAAACCAGAGAGCATACGGAGAAAAGATGATATATCTTAATAAGCTTTTCGTTAAAATATAATGCAGAGGCCACCAAATGGAACATATGTAAAAACCTCAGCTGCACACCAGGTATTTACTACTTGTTTTTTTTAGGTAACATATTAGGGCATCATGAGAAGCCATGAAGATTTAAATATAGTAACTTTTGCCTCTTACTCATTTTTTTCCTTTCCATAACAATAAAGCACGGTTTGCTGATTACACATCTCTTTCTCCCCCTTACTCTCCCCAATTTACATTTATTAAATCTAAATAAAACTACATTTTCCAAACACCATTTAGAGTTAGGTCTTATCGTCAACCAGGTTCTTATATATTTGAATGTTTTTCATACTAGCAGTATTTTATTACTGTTTTTATCAACATATTCCATTAATATCTGCATTACCATAGCATACTAACATGGTTCTAGGAAATGTTCATTGACACAAGAAGCAATTGAGAAGAACGAGAAGACAATTACAGAGGAGTTGGATACACATTATATCCACAGTGAATATTTAATACAAAAAATAATATTTCATTTCATATGTATTAAGCTATCATTTTCATAAATAGTTCTTGCATAGGTCAACATTTTTAACCTGCAATTCCCATAAGAGGAAAGCAGAAAAAGCACAAAATGCAGAAATATAATTTTCACATTTGGAAAAAGAGATACATGAACGAACAAACAAACAAATCTGTTTAGCATAGCTGTCAAATATTCAACTTCAAAATCCAGTGGATGTTTTTTATCACTGGAACGAATGGATTTAAACTGAGTAGTTTTTGCTGAATCCACCTTTATTCAAATTAATGTTGAACATTGTGCAAGCAAACTTTTAAAAGAGAGTAACTATTCTGAGATTTAACTACAGAAAAATTACATTAATAGAACCTTTTTTTGAACTGTTACTTACCTAGATTTTTATTACTATACTTTTTAGGCTTCATTTTACAGGCCCTCTTCAGCATTAGCTGTGCAGTAGATATATCCTTAAAACCCCTAGGGGAAGATAATAACTTACTAAGCATTTCACATGTATTATGTTACACCAGCTGCATATTATTGTATAATACACTTTCAAAAAGAATACAAGTGCATATAGTACTTCTTATGCATGGTATGAAACTTTCTGAATTACACAGATAGCCTGAATATTTAACATTACATTATTGCAACTTATTAAGCTGCTCTTACACATTTCTAAAAGTAATTACAATAGTTTTTACTTTGGTATAGAACAGAGATTCTTGAAAAGAGGAACTTAGAAAAGGCAAGCAGCAAAACCCAACGGTACTGTGCATATTCTTGGAAGTCACTATGTAAGCAAAATAGTTTAACATACCATTCTTCTGAAATTTTCTCTTCTTTTTGAGACATGAATGAAAATATCTTTCTTTCCTTACAGTCAGAGAGCTGTGACATTGTTCCCTTCCCTGACCTGAAAACAAAGTAAAAGAGTGGTACTGAAAGGCAGGTAAATAAGGCTCTTGGGTAACTATTTTGCAGTCTTTATTATTCTACAAGTTGTTTGTGCCTTTTAAAAGCACTTTTGGAGCTTGGAAATAATACAAAAAAATCTATTTTAATACTCCAGGAAGGCTTTATCTTGGAGAGTAATAAAAGTCTGCCATCAATTTGAAATTGTTTACATTTCAATTACTTGGAGCATATTTCAGTCCTTTCTCTCCAAAAGAATGCAGCTGTGTAAGAAATCCCTTTTTATCTTTATCTAGTCTTACAAATCTCTATTTCAACATCTATGTTATGATATATGTGAAAAATATAAGTTTTATGATTTAAAGTCAAACCTAGATAAATAAAAATACATACATATATTTTTATATTCTTAATTCTGATAGTTGATGAAAAACAACTGAATTTAATATATTTGATTTTAACAAGTTAATACATTTTGGAATCATAGAATGGTTTGGGTTGAAATGGACCTTAAGGATCACATATTCCAGCTGCCCTTGCCATGGGCAGGGACACCTTTCACTAGACGAGGTTGCTCAAAGCCTCATTCAACCTGGCCTTGAAAAATTCCAGGGATGGGGCAGCCACAGCTTCTTGCGGAAAACTCTTTCAGTGCCTCACCACTCCCATAGTGAAGAATTTCTTCCTAATATCTAATCTAAACATCCCCTCTTTCACTTTAAGGTCATTACCCCATGCCCTGTTACTACATGTTCATGTAAAAAGTCCCTCTGCAGATTTCTAGTAGGTCCCTTCAGGTACTGGAAGGCCATTACAAGGTCTCCCTGGATCGCTCTTTTCTCCAGCCTAAAGAACCCCAACTCTCTCAGCTTGTCTTCACAGGAGAGGTGCTTCAGCCCTCTGACCACTTTCGTGGCCTGCCTCTAAACCAAGTTGAGTAGGTCCACATCCCTCTGGTGTTGGGGTCCTGGTCATGCTCCTTTTGATGCAGCCCAGCATAGAGTTGGCTTTCTGGGCTGCAATTGCTAATTGCCAGGTAGTGTTGATCTTCTCATCAACCAATGCACTAACTCTCCTCAGGGCTGCTCTCAATCCATTCCCCGTCCAGACTGTATTTGCACTTGGGATTGACCCATTTTTTTTTTTCACTCCAGTAATATATAAACCAAATGTAGCAAAAGCATCAGAAAACAGTCTCAAGTTTTCCTCACTTTGATTTTTGTCAAATACAAATGAACTAAATATAAAAAAAAAAAAAAATTAACTTACCTGCTATGAAAGCTACTATTTTCTGCTAAGTATGAATGTGGGTTGTTAATGCACTGCCCAACTTCTTGTGGTGACAGTGGTGAACCATTTGAATGTTCATTGGAATGTGAAGGCCTAGAATACTTCTGAGCAAGAGAAGGAGAAAAATAATTCAGTTAATGATTCCTGCAAGTTTGAGTTTAAAATGTACAGGTAAACCTGCACCATGCTTTGCAGAATCTGTTACCATAACAGAAAGGATTCTTAATAGTGATATATCAAATTAGACCTTACATCTGGGGACTCATTCCCTAAATATAATGAATTATACTTTTATAGGAGTCCTTTTAATTGTAGGAAATAAAATATTAGTATTACTAAGCTTGTAGCAAGAAAAGAAAGCTCTACCAAAACAAAAAGCTAAAACTTCAAAGTTTGTCAAATAACTAGCAGACATTACGGTTTAATGACCTTTAGCTGTTCTGAAAACAGTCAGCTGTTGTCATATAATGCAGATCTTAGTTTTTTTAAAGTAGTGTGTCAAGTAGCAATTTTTAATCCACTGCCAAATGTACAGATGAAGCACATCATCTTTTTTTCTGCTACTGTGAAGTGTTGAAATAGATCCAAAATAAAGAAAAAAATAAGCAAATGAAAGAAAACCTTAAAGAAAAATTGCATCTGGAGATGAGGAGGAAGTCTGAGACTTCTAAAAGTAATTGTGTTTTTCAAGTCAATAGATTGTCGTATTAATCACCCCAGAATAGCATATCCTTAAGGAATGAATAAAGACTGAAGAGTAAGAAGTTTCTGTGACATGTTACCTTTGGCCAGTACAGCTGGTTCAAGAGCAGGAGTGTTTTTGAAGGGAAACGGGTGGAATATAGAGTTAGCCATTCCTTCTCTAATGCAGCTTGCATGAATGAGTAAAGTTAAATAGTGCACTGATAAAATCAGTTTAGTTTTGATAGCTTTTTCAAAGTCTCTTAAATTGTCTTACTCATTCTTCCAAGTGTTTTCAAGTTGTATATCAGAACTGCCACCTGCAGAGCAATCACACTTAAAACACCTTTGGAGATCTGTATTGTACTTTATTTTTAAAAAATCAGATTAATAGTATTTGTGAGCTGTGTTTTTTTTTTTGGGGGGGGGGTATTCCATTTTTTAGAAAATATGCACCCTCTCCTTCTCAAATTCTTATAATTTTATCCCAATATTGTTAATAAACCCAAGTTATTCAAAACGACTCCCATACAAAGGCTGAATAAATACAGACCTAAGGTATTTAAAGGTCTAAAGAACATGAACAGCTTTGCTCACTGTTTTTGACTAGTATTTTATATCCAGATGTAGGCGCCTGATCCTGTCGAACCTGTTTTTGTTGAGTTGAATCAGTGAACAGTTTTCATTGAAACCTGGTGTTAAAAAAGGTGAATGCTATATGTACTTATTCCTTCAATTAATAAATTTTATTTTTGATGTTATGGAATAATTTGCGAACTAAAATAATAGCTTGGAATGAAGAAGGGTGACAAGATTAGGTGCTAATTTGTGTCTCTAGCACTTCAAGGCAGAATTCAGTTTTCTTTCATAAAAGCAAAATTTAGATTTTGTTTCAAACTCAACCTGCATATGACTTATTTTTCTTATAAGTCCTTGAGGTTTTTTTGACCATCTGTTCTTTCACTGTATTCTGATAAGTGAGAGAAATAAATTACTCCTACACAGTAAGTAAATACTGCTGAAGAATTTGGCTTCACTTACACAGGGCTCAGTCATTCAGTCTGTTCTTACTTCGGCAGCAAAGAGCCTGGGGTTCATTCTTTTGAAAATGTCTAATTTATAAAACTGAACTGTGTTTCTCCCATTCATAGAGTATTCCAGATTGCATGATTTCTGACCCTGTGAAATTATCTTTACTTCGGATACCTTACTGTTTAGTTTGTGTAAACAGGACTTTGCATAGCCTTAGACTGGTGAAGAAGAAGGTCTTCCAAACCCTTTGAAATTCTGAGAGACAAAAGGATCATATTCCGGCTATTCGAAAAGGTTACTTCAGGTAGTGGTCACATAATTCGGTAACTCTAAGACCACTCTTTTTTATTATGAGGTAATGATTAACCAGTATTATTCTTCACCTTCCATTCAAACCTAACTCTTCAAAATAAATTTTCAATAAATTTTGACTTTATTTTCATATCTTAAAAGGTATTTATTCTTACACCTTCGTTTCCTCGTTTCTGAACTCTCTATTCTTTTGTATGTTTTGGTTTTCATTCTTTCATTTAATAAATCTGGATAAACTCTATGCTCTCATGATTAACAGATAATGTCCCTTTATGACTCTTCCCCTTCCTAACATTTTAATTAATGATAAACATATAACATTACCCTTTTTACCACACCTCCTCTCTCAGGTGGTTGTATATGTTAAGAAATGTATGTAAATAAACTGTAGAGGCATGCAACAAATAAAATATATCAAATTCTTTAACTAGTACATTTACGTGCAACCCACTAACCCATATCTTCTCAGTGATTAGTCTTATGCCAATAACGACAACTAAGTGGCTGATTCAAACAAATTTCATTAAGAAAAGGAAAAAAAAAACCCAAAAAACACAGGTAAAATCTATTGCAGAAGCAGATTGTAGTAAATCAAAACATAATGTGATCATTTAAAGTTGTGAAACTAGTACAATTCAGACACAGAAGACTGATATGTTCATATCTCAACAGAGACAAAGCTATGATATATTCAAATCTTGTAATTGCCTGGGGTCTGTGGGCAGAATGGTCAAAATGCAAAATAACTAGGAGAAAATGGAGAAAATCTGACCAGAAACTGTCAGTGAAATCAGATATTAGTTCTCCTTGTCCTCCTTGAATTTACTCTTCAAATGCACTGCAGAAATCATATTTCTGGCTTTTCAGATGAGAGTTTTTCACTAATTTTCTAAGTGTGGGTTTGCCACCCAGTCATAGGTCAACTCAGTTTTTCGCAAAAGCTGTGTCTTCAACTTTGCTGGTATATAAAGGTTTATGAAAGTGGCAAATTTCTGAAGTATTTTTTTCCTCCTTTAATTGCAAGAGAATCAATACAGCTGGGAGGGGGTAGATTTCCACTTCTTGTACAATTTAAATGTCAAATAATCTAATTTTTTTTGTGTGTACAATGACTTGTCTATTAATTATGTGGCTACTTAGATGTCTTACATAAGGAGTGAATGTGATCCATGTTCTAATGTCAAATTTTAGGTACAGCCTGCATCCTAGCTACTTGAATTTCTACTTCTCTGATGAAACTGTTTGTGATAGAAATCAACAAAATCATGAAACATGAAAACTACCACTCCAAAATTGTAGACAATTTTTTGGAACAAAAATAACTTAAGCAGCAAGAATCACTGACTGAATCCTCCTGCTTTATAGTTGTACCATGACCCAATTAAAGTTCTTTGCTCTCAACCTTTAGGTTGAAACTCTTCTCACAAGTATTTTCTTACCCCAGTGCTCACCATTTATTAATTTAATACTCTTCACAGTGTTTCTATTTCTTTCATGGCCTGTAAAATGTCTATCAGTGTTCTAAATCTTAAAAATAAATTTCAGTGAAAATCTGAAATTACTTTTCAAAGGTATAAATATGCAAGACAAGAAAAAAGATAACTGATTTATCATTAAGCACGTTTCACACTCCTATGAATGTGCAGCATATTATAAAAACATACAAAACTGACATTTGCTTTGGCCAACAAAAATAAACACATAATTGATTTTCAAATATATGCTCTTCCACTATGTTTATCCCTAGAGATTTTGACAGTGCTATGTTCAAGAAACTTTTGTCCATATTTTCCCCCATAAATACAGTCCTAAATTAAAACTAATGCATAGTTTATGACAGAATTACCAATACTTAAGGCTAAAACCTACATCCATTTCTACTGATATTGTCCATGAAAAGAAAAAACCAAAACAACAACACACCAACAATCTGAGATGAATTACAAAGCAAATAAAATTATAGTGCTTGATTATATGGTCTACATAAACCGTTACAAGCATACATTTGTTTCTAAAGCCAAGTTAAGGAACCAATTTCTTAAATATTGAGGTATATATGTAGTTTCACACATATGTGTAAATCTCATACAGTTGATTTAAAACACATTAATTCATCTGAAGATCTCTCAAACTTTTGTATCCTCCATACTTTACAGTGTTTGTTTCAAATCAGACTGTATTCATTACTTTTAAAAAGTTGCAACTTTTACAGGTACACAAAACATACATAGACCTTTATAAATGTTTGTTAAAGCTTCACAGAAATAAATTCACTCTAACTTATGATTTGAAACACATTTTTAATACTTGACAAATTATTCTAAGGTTTCTTTAACTTTCCTTTTTTTTTTTTTGTGGCAGACTTTGTGTTTGTTTTGATTTAGCTCCTGCTCATGATACAAATAAAACACTTCCAAGACTAAAAAGAATACAGACCCCCAAATTCATTATTAAATACAATGCAATTATCCTTGATATCATTCTTCAACAACAAGAAGGTGCAAATATATTTGGGTTTGTTTTTTTTTTTTCTGAATTTTATTATTAAAACTTTCATGGTATTAGCTATTTCCATTTAACCATCAGGATCAAAACCTATTTATCCTGATTCACAATGCATTTTTTTAACCTTTTGAGAATCTAACCCTACAGGGTTATTTTCCCTCTGATACTGCAGCTCATCATGAACTCTGGAGGTTTACGGACTTTTTTTCTTTTCATGGCACATTATATATAAAACCTTTTTCATGTTATTCCTTCATTTCTAAAACATTTCTATCCCTTCTTTTGCAGACTGCAATCACTATTTACAATCAAACATTAAAATCCTGTGGTCTCAGAAACAGAATCAAATCCTACAACTATTAAAGTCAGCGACAATGGTTCTACTAACTTCAACTGGGATTGAATGAGCTATTGAAAAGAAGAGTTTTAGTGCAAATATTATTTACACAATCTAATTCTAGGCATATTTTATATGCTCTGGATTATGTTCTGGAGTTACATAATCTTTTATAACATGTGTAGCTTGGACTGTTCTGAGTCCTATTAAACCATGAACAAAAAATAGCTCACAGAACACAGTGTCAAACCTACACTCAGCTATGAAGCACTTTGACAAGTAACTGTCCAAACTGTGCATAATGTTACCACATACTGCCTTTCATTTCTGTTAGATCAAGGAGGATCACAAAAGTATAATAAAAACCAAACCAATCCCCAAAACTGTGCTATGGTTAGAAGCAGAGGATGCAAGAAGACATTAACAATACAGGCTGAAAAGGAAGACCAGCACAGCTACAGGTTGGGCAGAGAAGAGATTCAGAGCAACCCTGCACAGAAGGACTTAGGGTCGTTGGTCGATGAGAAAATGAACATGAGCCGGCTTCAGTGTGCGCTTCCAGCCCAGAAAACTAACCATATCCTGGGCTGCATCAAAAGGAGCATGACCAGCAGGTCAAAGGAGGTGATCCTGCCCCTCTGCTCCCGTGAGACCTCGCTTGGAGTATTGTGTGCAGTTCTGGTGTCCTCAACATAAAAAGGACATGGAACTATTGGAACAAGTCCAGAGGAGGGCCACGAGGATGATCAGGGGACTGGAGCACCTGCCGTATGAAGAGAGGCTGAGAAAGCTGGGGCTGTTCAGCCTGGAGAAGAGAAGGCTGTGGGGAGACCTCATAGCAGCCTTTCAGTATCTGAAGGGGGCCTACAAGGATGCTGGAGAGGGACTCTTCACTAGGGACTGTAGTGATAGGACAAGGGGTAATGGGTTCAAACTTAAACAGGGAAAGTTCAGATTGGACATAAGGAAGAAGTTCTTTACTGTAAGGGTGGTGAGGCACTGGAATGGGTTACCCAA